GTGTGTGAGACAGGGGTGCCAGGGGGACAAGGCACTGCTGTCCTTGGGAGCCTGACCAGCACCGGCTTGAGGCCCCAACTGCCCAGGGACACGGGCACTGGCTGAAAAGGCCCGACTGCATAGCAGACGGGACACGCTCCACGACCACCGAAAGGAGCTGGCGGCCAAGGGACAGCGCTTTTGCAAGAACGCACTAGTATTTCTAGCAGATTTGAAAAGACAAAAAACAAGAAGAATGCAGAGGCACCTGGACAAGGTGCTGCCTCTGTCAGAACACCTGGGGGGTCACAACCCTCAGCTCGGAGGGCGGGGCTCACGTCCGGAGCCCACGGCTCCGAGGACAGAGGTGCTGTTTGCTTCATCTCCCAGAACCTGTCAGGGCCTCCTGTCAATTTGGTAACACGGGATCCCTCACAGGCAGACAAACATAGATCCACACACACTGTGTCACATACGCGCGTACACGTAGCACGTACATGCATAACATGTGCATGCACACACGGTCTTAACGGGAAAGAAAGCCACCAGCTGTGTCCTGTCACTCATTGGCTACTAATGTCATTGTACGAGTCACAGCTCCTGATGTCAGTCACGTCCATGCGTCACACTGAGCACATGGCCCTGTGCCGTGGCGCTCCGGCTGTCGGTGGCCCTGCACATGCCCCCGTGGGGTCCTTACCTGTTCTCCTTTGTCCCCCTTGCTCCCCTTCTGTCCCGGCTCCCCGATCTCTCCCTGTGGGAAGACGTGGAAAGACCCGTTAGGCAGCCCCGAGCCATTTGGATATTCTCTGCTCCCATCATCGATTTTTCTGGGAGATGAGGAATAATCTCTCCAGGGGACCCTACACATTACCTGAGAGGAACTGTTAACACATATTAGTTTGATTTCTTCTTTTAATACGAGAGCTAAAAGGGACGAGGCCTTGATCTTAAGCTATACAGAATTTTAGCGGATTTGGAAATGTGGTAAACATCATTATGAAAGTATTTACTCTGTTTGTCACATTGGCTGACATGACGATGCAATAACAGACAACTCAACGGCTGTGCTTCCAAAGAAGCGATTAAAACCTGTCCAGTGTGTCTGCGGTACAGGGCTGCTTCCGCCCTCAGAGGCAAGGCATCGTCTATGCGGAGGTGACAAAGTCGGAAGTGTCACCGGAGGGTCATCGTACATGGAAAGTGAAATGGAGTGGCTTCATTAAGTGAAGTATATGGTACAAACTGCCGCAGTAGCAGCGTCAGGATTATGAAGCGCAGGCCTAACGCAAGGGAGCTGGGATGAGGCCGGGGAAGATGTGTCACAATAGACGTTGGGTGACACCTCATTAAATCGGGCCCACACAGCAGGATTTGAAACCGTGCAGGAAGGCCGAGGGCGTTTTCCTTGGTTCTGCCATTAATGGCCAACATTTCCAGCAACATGATAACGATACGAGACAAGAGCAGATTCCAAGTCCTCGCGAGGTCATTATAATATTTATTGTTATTGTGTCTCATACATAAAAGAGCCCTCATTTACTACCACTTACGTGTGAGGTATTCTGAACTCATCCACTAACCCCGAGAACACTGGGTGGGCAGGAGGTCGCTGTCCCCGGACCCCCCACATTGCCTGCAGCCCTTTGTTTAAAGTGACCCCTGGCTCTGACCTGCCGGCCCTGGCCAGCTCGGCCGAGCATGGTTCTCCGCTCTCCGTACCTTATCTCCATCTTCTCCAGGGGGGCCCACAGGGCCAGCCGGGCCGGGGAGCCCCACAGGACCCTGGAGACCGTCTCGACCAGCTGGGCCTTGTGGCCCTTTCTCGCCCTAAAGAGGAGAGAAGATGCCTGCTCAGATGCAGCTCCATCGTGGGAACGTCCCGCCCTCAGGTCATTCCNTCGACCTCTGCATGCAGAGCTCCAGCCGCATGGGGAGCCCTGCTGGTCCTGACTCCTTGCTGCCTTTCGGAAGACACTGCCCCACCTGCGCAGCCATTACTCCTGGCGCTCAGCTGTCTCCATCCACACCCCCGCCTGCGGGCTCTGCCTTCCATAGAAGTGGACACTGAGGCACCGGGAGGACAAGCATCTTCCCAGGTCACAGGTCAGGACTTAGCGGTGGAACTGCAGACCTGGCCTCCGAGCTGGTGTCCCTAAGCTGCCTTTGGTTGCTGCTTACCTAAAACCAGTGACATCGGCCTGTGCCCACGGGTAGGAAATCCCCAGCAGCCCTGGCCACGTGGGTGCAGGGTGGTGGGGAGGGAAAGCTGTGACTCCGTCAGGGTCGTCCCCAGGGAGTGCCACGCAGGGGCCCACTGGGGTCATTTCCACCCCAGAGACTTGGCTTGAAGCAATGTTTCAAAAGCTGAACGCCAGGTGTGAGAAGCAACGTCTAGGTGGTCTCAGCTTAGGGGTGACATGGAAAGAGCCCTTTCGAGGGGGACGTGTGACCAGTTAGGCAGAAATAAGGTAAGCCCGGGGCTCATGGGCGGGCTCTGGGGTGGGTCATGGACCCCTGTGTGCAAAGCCAAGGGCATGCCTGGACTTGCATCTTTCCCTCTAGGAAGGGGGTCTTTCAACGGGTGCTCAGAGGGCGCCCATGGCCCCCCGTCATGGTGAAGAATCAATACTAGAATCAATAACTGGGCTTGG